TTTCAGATATTCCCTCTTTTTTTCCCCGAAATGCCTGCTGGTTTCACGTCTTATATTGTTCAGATTATCTCCATTTAACTAAGTATTTTAATGGTAAAAAAAATTATTTAATTATATTCTGCATCCTAGTAGACTGTTAGTATTCATGGTGAGGACGTGACTGTGGACACTAATTTGTGTGTGCGTGCGTAGTTACGCGCTATATCAAATAGACCAATGTAGACGAATACATTCGATGATGAATCCAAAACCAGTCTCTGGTCACCCTGAACTCATGACAATATATAAAACCATATTTATTTCATATATTTAATTTTGGAACATGAATGTAACATTGTAATTATGCTTCTTCAGCTACAACAAACATGTTTATAACGGATTGGTGTTGTACAAGATTGGCTCTCTCTCTCAAAGTATCTCTGTTCTGTCTTGATTAATACAAGATTTTAGTATGTTAGATTTGAGGCTTTCACGGCGGTGACTATGAAGAAAGCAGTCTTCTGGGCTTTGGCGCCGTGTATATGTGGTGTTAACCGACGTTTCGGAGGAACGTATCGCCCCCATCTTCAGGGTTGAAGAAAAAGTATAGGTAAATCTGCAAGCGACAACACCGTGAGACACGGTAANTGCGACCTGCCATAAGATAAAGTTTCGTATTAATGAACTTCGTTTCATTTTGTCTCATCAATAGAAAAATAATATTCAGACTGAACATTCAAATTATTTTCTGCTATATCAATCGTGGGTTCGTGAAATTATCAGTGAAACTACAGAACATTAAAACATTAGTACGAGATTGTGCTTTGGCAATGTGTCATTATGAATTGTTTACTGACACACAGCTAAGTCCACAAATGTCTGAAAGACTGAGTAGGCAGTACTATCTTTGTAACTATTGCGGACTGAAGCACTGGTTTGAGTCTAAGCAGCAATAGCAGTAAGAGTTGACTTTGTGCTTAGCTCAGCATCACGCTATGACGCTATGTAGATGTGTAGGTATAGCTCCAGGCATTCTTATTCTCGGTCCTGGATGGGGATTAGTAATTTTCTTAACGCCCTCTTCACTTCACCGGCGGGATAAAGGCCCCGACAACCATTTTGTATGGAGCTATGTAGACCCCAGGGCTGTTCTAAACAATTTCGTAAACAATATCTTACTCCTGTCGGGTATACATTATTCAGAGCCTGTCCCAGTTGTGACGACTGAGATGTCCAATTTCTAGCAGAAGAAGATAATTTGTCATTGTGAGCTTCCGGTTTACGACAACGTGTATGGAGCTGGAGGCAAAGTGTCCCTCCGCAAACAGAGCAGTGTCGCTGTGCACAAGCGAGAACTCCCACGGCGGTGGAAACTGAATATCAAGAAGATATTTTATTTTCAAAGGCTTTGGCTGAAGGAATGAAATGTTAGGTGAGTGAGGGCACAGTTTTGTCGTCTGTCTGTGATGTCACAGCGCCGTTACAGTATAAATCAAGAGGACTTTCAGAGCTTGCCACACGTCGCAGAGAAGGCCCCCAGCATAAGGTGACTCAAGCGGTGAGCCTGCGAGTTTCTTGTGCCTCCCTTTTCTCAGTTGAAATTCCGACACACAAGAAAGTAGGAACACCTGTTTGTGTCACGTGACCAGTAGAGTCTACTTTCAATTGGGAGATTGAATTCTCAGCCACACGGCCTCAGTGAGCAGACAAGTTGGTTTCAGCAGGAACGTTTGTCCGCTTCGAATATCAGCAGAGATAGCGATTAGTTTGACTGAAGTATTTTATGTTTTTCCTCAGTTCCTCCAGGTATATACCGGGATTGTACCCTGAACCAGTTCATGAATGTTCAATTGCTCATTCTCTGTATCTCATTCACTCCTGTGTTAACATTCTATGCCACGTTGTCAACTACTGAGAACGTCGGTGAATGTAACAAATGAATAAGATGCTGTGTTCAGATGTTTCCAACAAAAGCACTCATTTCCGCAATGATCTCTCTTCTTACTCTCACTCCTCTAGTGTAATTGATGTTCTTCTCTTGCATAAATTTTCTGTTCGTAGAGAAACGTAAAATGCAGAAACACTAAATCTTACTGTTGACTCTTATTGTTTTTCCTTTTGGGTTTTATTTTTCCATCCTGAAAATGGAGGCAATGTATTCCTCCGAAACATCGGTAAACTTCTACCAGTTCTATCTATCTATCTATCTATCTACTTCTATCTTAACTCTCAGTATATTTTTGGTTTCTTTACAATAAATTTCTCAATGATTGATATTAGCTATTTCTAAGGGGTCCAATTCAGTAGGTGTCTTCCTCTCTCACCTGAAGACGGAAACAGGTCCAGTTTCCGAAACGTCATGTCCTCTTGTTACCTAGAATTCCGGATGATGGAAAAAGTCTGAAAAAAAACAGTAATTCTGAGTGTCATCCACCATCGTCAGAACCCTTTAGAATCTAGATTCCTGGTGTGTTGCTAGCATCTTCAGAGAGGACTGGCATATTGGAGAACAGAGGAGAAAAACGTCCCTATCGGCAGCTCTGCATATATACGAGTATATATTATCTTCAAGTTTAATTTTAAATTTATCAAAACAGATGGGCTTCTAATGTATACTGTAAGGCGACTTTGCATCATGACCACTGCGACAACTGCCCGAATGCTCCCAATTTCAATAAAGTTGCTGAATTAGTGGTGGAACATTGTACGATTTGCTGTGATTGCTACTTACCACGTCCCGTGAAGCTACCCATTGAGGAAAATCTCTGTCACTACCCTGAGGTGCTCCATATCAAACCCACATATTACGTAATTGACGGCGTGCTCGCTACAGCCCAGATAGCAAGTACGGGTCTACTGTACGTGTTGCTTAATCACAGTTCAGTCACATCGGTAACCGTTTCGCGTGTCAAGGACGTTCGCAGTGCTTGCTTATTGCGATTCTTGTGTGAGGGGTCGGAGGAGGGAACGGCTTTTGGAGCTGTGAATAAAATGTGTACGTGCGGGGTGATTACGCAGGAAAAGGAGATGGTATCACCACAGCGTGCTCTGCAACATTTTAGAAGATTATTGCTTGTACTTACGGGTCTGCTAGAGTGTCCTTGAAGAGGTATATAACCTCATAAACCAACACGTGTTTCGATAGTGCATACAGACATTAAACTGTAACAAGGCTATATTATGTTGTTTATGTTACGATGCTGTTTATGACTAGACTACACAGGAATGGTATAATGATTGATGAACTGGAAAGAATTTTGGGGAAAAATGTTATGACATAACAGAGGTACTGTCCAGCCATTTTCGTGCAGGGAAAAGGACAATTTTGAAAAACTCAGTCACAATAACCGATGTCCTGTTCTGAAATGGGTACGTTTGAATTTCAAGTCTCAGATTACGGCCTCTTGAACCTGCTAGATATAACAGGGCGATAAAGAACCGGGGAAAGCCGTGAAGTTCTTTTATAATACGACGCTTTCTAATCGGATATCGAGGTTCAGCTCCGCACTGTTTTTCAGGCAAGGTTTAGGCCTATTTGATATGCATTGCCCCTCTGCAGTTGGCTTTAATGCTGTCTTCAGCCGACTGGCACATGTTTGATAGTGTAGTGCAGCAGTGTCAAACATGCGGCCCCCATAGCCACAAAGTGCGGCCCCTCAACTTTTAGAGCTAATTGATATTAAAAGCAATATTAAAATTTTAGAAGAAATATTTTTTGTAAAGACAATTTTCCAACAGACCAGAAGACAAGAAGTCTCACGCAGACATAAATTAGCAGGCTGCAGGAAATTCGATGTTTTTATATTTCTAACATAATTTCTTGTGTAATCTCTCCTTTTACATATTGAAAAGTTGTTTGATACTTGTCAAAAATGGCATTTTCTTGCTTTTTAAACTGCAAGATATGTGACTTTAGGTAATTATATTGAAATTATTCCTAAATAATAAATAGAATTTAATTTACTTCTATCAAAATCTAATGTAAATTTCTATTTTGAAATGAGGCCCTGGACTATTATTTATAGGGCTGAGGTGGCCCTCTGTACAAGTTGAGTTTGACATGCCTGGTGTAGTGTTTATATTGTCACGTGTATTAGCGACTGTAGACGGGATTTGTATTGGTGAAGAGATTTATTGAACTCTTACAGATCGTAACTACAAATAACTGTAACACTAACGCTGATTTTCACACTACAAATCACTCAACACTAAGTCTTCTCGGTCTGCTTTCACTAGTCTTTACTCGGTAACAGCTCTCCACGATGGCTATTCCTCTGCAGTGTGTTCACTAGACGTTTCCTGGTAGCGAATCGTAGCAATGGAACTTCTTCCGCTTTTGTTGCCGACTGATGAGCACTCCACACCTGAACCCTCAACTGCCTTATATCGCCAATCGTTTTCAAGATAACTCCTCGTCACGGACCACGCAGAAAACACATTGTTTCATATTAAGGCGTGTTTACTGAAACTTTGCATAGCAACGGTCGCGACACGGACCCCGTACAAAATAGCCTATTATTGAGGCTTGCTTACCTACACGTTTGCAGCCACCTCCTCAAGCTGGTTCCTCGTTGGAGGGGTTTTGTACCCTGAAGATGGAGGCGATACTTCCCTCCGAAACGTCGATTTCACACAGGACCTACACGGTACCACATGGCATTCTTCAAGTGAAAAAATGTTCAGCTGAGTTAAAATACTTCAGTAAGTGTTTCGGCTAGGACCTGGCTAGGAGCGATCACAGCTGTAATGTAACGGAACACTGGGCTGCGATGATCGTGTAGTGGGAGACGGACTGATAGCAATGAAAATTGTAGGAGTAAGTTTTACAAGTAGCACACAATTACAGAAATATTCTGCGAGCAGTGCACAGAAATATCACTAAATTGGCAACACTGATACCGGTACACGTGTACACGCCTGTTCTGGCAGTAACGTCAGGTTGCCCGCGCAGTGCGTAAGAGCAGCCCGCGCAGTCACGTGCCACTAGATCATGCAAATTCAAGGTCAGTAGCAGTGGAGAAGTTGAATGCAGTCATGCCGTCGTATGGGTACAGTGTGTGAGACAGCAGTGTATGTCGTGTAGTCGGTAATAGTTTACCACCGTTTCGGAGAAATGAACTGCCTCCATCTTCAAGAACGAAAAGTAAGTAACAAGCTAATTTTCTGCCAGACCACACGGTGTCACGTAACACTTTTTGGGCTTTCACAAATTAGGGTGTTAGGTTTGTTTCGTTTTGGAATTAATTTGGAAACTCTGAATATTGTAGAAGTACTAGTGGGAAGAAAGAAACAAATTGTGTGGGAAATGATTCTTTTCGTACTTTAATCCTCTTCACATGTTTTCCAGTTGAAACAGGGAATTATGTTACATCTTAATCTTTTAAATGATACCCTTTCGATCATAAAGCTGACATTTGTTTAAAAAATGTAAGTCTCGTCACCAAAATGCAGGGCAAAATCATGATATGAAGATAGGAAACAGATGTTTTGAAAATGTGGCACAGTTCAGATATTTGGGGACAACGATAACAGATCGAAACCTGATTCAGGAGGAAATTAAGAGACCATTGAACTCGGGTAATGCTTGCTACCATTCAGCCCAGAACCTTTTGTCTTCTCGTCTGCTGTCCAAAAACATAAAAATTAGAATATACAAAACTATAATTTTGCCTGTGCTTCTGTATGGGTGTGAAACTTGGTCTCTGACATTAAGGGAGGAACATAGACGGAGGGTGTTTGAGAACAGGGTGTTGAGGAGAATATGTGGACCGAAGAGGAATGAAGTGACAGGAGGTTGGAGAAAACTGCATAATGAGGAGCTTCATAACTTGTACTCTTCTCCAAGTATAATTAGAATGATCAAGTCAAGGAGGATGAGGTGGGCAGGTCATGTAGCACGAATGGTGGAGACGAGGAATGTGTATAGGATATTGGTGGGAAAGCCAGAAGAAAGAGACCACTGGGAAGACCAAGGCGTAGGTGGGTAGACAATATTAAAATGGATCTTAGAGAGATAAGATGAGATGGGATGGATTGGATATATGTGGCTCAGGATAGGGACCAGTGGAGGGCTCTTGTGAACACGGTAATGAACCTTCTGGTGCCATAAAATGCCGGAAAATTCTTGAGTAGCTGCAGAATTGGCGGCTCCTCCAGAAGGGCTCGGCTCCCTGAGTAAGTAAGTAAGTAAGTAAGTAAGTAAGTAAGTAAGTAAGTAAGAAAGTAAAGGTATCCCTGTAACAAGCTGTGGAGGCCCGTAGGGTTGTGAGACGTCGATGCTCCCACATTTTCTAGACAATCGGCTCACAGATAGCGATGAGATTGTCAGCCTTACTCGCCGGCCGCACTTTACCTCCAAGAAGATTCCTGGTGCTCATTTCTGTTAAGGGGCTGAGTTGACCCCTGGGACATAGTGCGGCTGGAAGGATTAGGTCAGTTCGGCTTATAGCACAGTGCCTCAAGTTTGTGAAAACTATTAGTGTGAGAACCAGATGACATATCGCACATTAGTACCAGGAATATTCTTGGGGATAAAGGGCGGCCGGCGCGCAAGGCTGACAACCTCACCGCCACATGCAAGCCGATTGTCTAGAAAATGTGGGAGCCTCGACGTCTCACAACCCTATGGGTCTTCTCGGCCTGTTATAGGGATAGCTTTACTTTACTTAATTTACACATAGAGAGAACACCTTACATAAATACTGGAAAGCCCACTCGGTTTATTCGACCCTGAAGATGGAGGCGATATGTTCCTCCGAAACGTTGATTGAATTTCAACTGAGTACTCGGCATATTATCGTAGAAGATATTAATATTCGACATATAAGTAACCTGTTAATTGGGATTTGTAAGATGACACATTAATACTCGAATGCTATTTTCTTTCTGAGATGTGCCTATACCATTTCCACAAATTAAAAAGAAAGCGGCCTCCGTAGTGTAGAGGTAACGTTCCCACCTCATGACTCGTGGTACGCGGGTTCAAACCCGGCGGAGGTAGTGGAATTTTTAAGGGCGGAAAAATTCAGGGAACAAGTCCTCCGGGAGGGACTTTAAGCCGTGGGTCCCGTGTCGTAGCTTTACGGCACGTAAAAGAACCTCATATCTCCAAAGGAGTTCACTGAGCTAAATTCAAGGACATTTCCCGCCCAACAGTAGTCTCTAACGCCTCTGATAGATGGGGGAAGCATTATAGATACCGCCTAGCCAGTAGAGGCCGAACTCGCTGGCTCGGTCGGGACTGACGGTATGCACCAATATCGGTAGGGTATAGAGACTGGTAGAATATCATAGAGGGAAGCACAATGGACCAATACAGGTCTCAGTGCATGGGGAAACCCACCCTCTCCAATAACTAACTAAGTAATTAAAAAGAAAGAAACCCTCGAGTTACCAAGTAAATGTCGAATGCAAAATATATCTCCCTTCGTTTCACACTTGCCCCCTTTGAAAGCAATTTCACATTAAGTTTATCTTTTGACATTGGACACAGCAGTCGGTTTTCTAAACAAGCTCAAGGTTACCCGGACTGTATGTAGGCAGGTATGATAACATAGATACGTGGACTCGTTAGCCGGGGAAGTGACCCATTAAAATGCCTGCTTTCACAGGACAGTCCAGCACAGGGTGAACAGCTATTCATGAAGCGTTAGAACTGAGCAAGGCCGCATGTGCGTGACATCTGTCGGACACTGTGAGAATCACAAATTTAATGCATGATTGATTTATTCTGTACATACGCCACTACTGCTCTCAGCATCGGAATACTCCAATAACACACCGAATGCAGGCTAACATTTACAACAGTAATCAAATGCTAAAGCTACAGTTGGAAATGAAGACGTTTTAATATTAATACAGAACAGTGGCGGCTCGTAGCTAAAATTACTGGGGGTGCTTCTCCAGAAGAGCACAGTTCAATACAAAGATTTGGCTACTGACATTATATATTGTATTGTACAAGTATAAAGAAAGAATTAAAGAAAAAAGGACTCATTATATAAATGTTATCGATAGTATCATGTGGAAATTGGGGGTTCTGCAGTTCCGCACTGCCCATACACGGGCCGCCCCTGATACCAAAAGAATTTTTTTAATGCTAGTGGGGTGGGACTAAGTCCCTTGTACTGCGGCAACTTCTGGCCTACTGTATCAGCCCCAGATGATATGTGAGGGTGATTGTGGAGCAATTGGTGGAATGAAGATTGGCAAGGGAAACCGAAGTACTCGGAGAAAACCTGCCTCAGCGCCACTTTACCCACCACAAATCCCACTTGACCAGACCCGGGATCGAACCCGGGCCGCCGCGGTGGGAAGCTACCGACTAACCACTTGAGCTATGGCGCGGCCAAAGAGACAATTGGAATATTTAATATTGTCACGTGATGGAGTGACTATAGATGAGATTTGGACTCTTGTTACAGCGCGTGACTACAATTTACAGTTCACTATTATGCGCACATTCTAGTGTTCTCAGTTTTTTATAGTCTCCACTAGCCGTTTTCTGGTAGGGGCTTTCAGCGGTGGACCTTCCCCTTCCTTTGGCATCCCGAACTATCCCAGGCCGCAGCTACCAGCTTATAATAGCAGCAGCAGCAGCGCAAAACGACTGAGCCCCAGCAGTTCCCTAACTCACTAACTCACCAACCAATACTTCACTTCCATTAATTGTCTCTCTTGTCCTGCTTATAACTGTGTAGAAAACATCGCTACCCTGTTGCAGTAAAATTGTTACGTTCGTGTCTGTTGGCGAAGCCGTTACCTAATAATGGCTGTCGTATAGCTGCTTATTTCGCAGTCATTGCCTAGCAACGGTTCCACAAGCCTCAATATGATGAACAATAAGTAATAGAGATATGTTTAATACAGTAAAAGTAAGTAAAGCTATCCCTGTACCAGGCCGTGAAGGCCCATAGGGTTGTAAGACGATGAGGCTCCTACATTTTCTAGACAATCGGCTCAAAGATGGCGGTAAGGTTGTCAGCCTTACGCGCCGGTCGCGCTTTACTCCCCAGGAAAATTATATAAATAATTCCTGGTACTCATTTCTGTTAGAGGCTAAGTCAACCCCAGGGCCCTAGTGCGGCTGGAAGGATTAGGTCAAATGAATAAATCCAGTGACCTCATCGGGACTTGAACCCTCGACCTTCCGGCTTGTATCATAGCCCTTCAACCAACTACGCTACCCCTTGCCCCTTGTTTAATAAAGTCAAGGTTTAATAATGTAGGAATTGGGGTTTTGACAGCAATGGTAATTAGTTCTATCTTCTGGAATATAATGTTTAGTCCACTGAAAGTCTAACGACGTTTCGGAGGTACATGTACCCTCTATCTTCAGGTTTGAAGAACCGAAGAGCAGTATCCTGTTCTGCATTTTTATGGACAGAAGAACTAATTGCAAAAGATATTCATAAAGAAATATTTCCTCTTTATGGTGGAAAGTGTTTGTCGCGTAAAGTGATTCCGCACTGGTGGCAAATGTTTCGTAGCATCAAATATTAGGATGATTCATGAATAATGAATTACAAAGGATTTGGGAGGTAACGGTCGTAGCCTTAGCGAGGTACTGTCCCTACATTTGTCTGGAGGGAATGAGGAAAACACGGATATCCTCAGTCAAGAAAACCGGTGTCCCGGAACATACTATTGGACCCACATATTTAACATGTTTTTGTAGGCGGTCTGAGTGTCATTTCTGATATTGAATATGGCGGTTAAAGTCCATATTTTTTGGCTGGAAGGTGAAACCTTGCTTATCTGTTGTTGCGTGTGTCAGCAAACAGTCTCATGTTGTACGTCAGTTAAGCGTCGGTAGAACATAAGAACAGGCGTTGAAGTCAGCTGCTGTAGAAGGTATGTGTGAGTTCTCGGTATTCCAGTATAAAGAGACATCATAATTAGTTTAACGAGTATTAAATTGGGTTACAGTTTATATTAAGTGTCTCAGACGGACCTCTTTACAAGCAAAAGACACTGCAGATGCAGTAGTCCTACCCTTTTTATTGTTAAATTTTGGGAGTATGGAGGACGCCGAGTTGGAAGCGACCTTTGCACCAGCTCACAGTGTGTCTCTACGTCCGTAGTTGTCGAACTCATCTTTGCTGTGTTTTTTCTTGCCTTCTTCCCTTCCGTGGGCGGTGATAT